CGGAGAACGTTGGTACTCGGAAAGTACTCGACTACAGCACTGTTTTTCAGTAACAATTTCTGTGACAAGATGTTTGAAAACACTCACGACAGTGCTGTGCATTCCTATTAGCTATCTGCTGATGAGAGACAGCTTAAAACTGAATTAGTTCGATGACCAGTGACGTTGAGTAAACCGAGCGACAAGAACTAAACAAGGTTTTGGGTGTGTGCGTTTGATTGTGACAAACTATGTCCAGCCCCAATATTTTTCGACATGTTTTCCATGGCCAACTATGCCCCCAGGAAAAGCCAAGAATGATTCAACGTTTATTCATTTGCGGGGATGTCCAAGTTCTCACGCTTCACCAACTGTCATAACCCGGGAGTTTTGTTGCTTAATCAACAAACCTTCTGGCATCGTGAGATCGGTGTAGAAACAAGCAATGAATGTTATGCACAATAAGTCAATGCTCAAAATCAAGTCATCTTCTAACACAGCGTTGCATTGAAGATTAGAAATGTCATTGAGCTAACATCGCCACATCAAATTCAGGATCGGAATCCCATGTATTATGTATCAACCAATCACGTTCATTTTCAGTCAATAGTGACTAATACCCTTTAAAAATAATTTAAGGCAAAAGGGGCGATGTTTTCCTCTTGTTGAGTTTTTATAATTTGTTGTTTGATTTAATAATATTAAAATAGAATTTCTTGCATGTACTGCAACCGCCAGTACAGAAACTTACAAAGACCACATGATTTTTTTTAAATATGCTATCTTTTTTTCATATTCTATTTTATACATAGGCTAAAAGTTTCATCTCGCCGTGGCGAGACACCACTATGAAAACACTTCATATAGCCCTTGAATTTTTCCGTAGTCCAGCGCCCATTTTGAGTAAAAAAAACAAGACACGTGGGGACCTTAAAAGGGGCACTTGAAAAATACAAACTTGGCTGGAGACAGCATGTTTCCACCGTTAACGGTTTGTCGCTTTGCTGCTGACTTGTGCTCCCCCCCGAAAAAATACTTGCAACACCAATTGCATGGACGAATTCATCTCTGGGTATATGGAGTCATTTCTCGATTGTAAAGAATTCCCCTTGAACCTATCCAGATCGTGTCAATTCAAAAACAGCGCAGTATCAACTCATCCACGTGATGAAGTTGCAGAAATGTAAGCAGGAAGGAAGCTGCAATTAGAGACTATTGTTTTATTGTTTTCTTACAAATACAATCAGATATAACCATGGAGACCATGAACCTGGGCTCCCGGCCCCATCATGTCCAAGCTTCAGATGGTCATGTTTGTTTTAGATATCGAAGCCCCCCGTGCGTTTATTCTTGATATTGAGTATAATGCAAAGTAAGTTTGTTGAGGTAGAAGCATTCTGATTAAAAAGTACCAAAAAGACATAACCAAACGTCCAACGGCATTCACTCCCTCTCAGAAACGCTTCATCGATGAAGCCTGTCCAATAGTTGCCTTGATAATGATTGGTTTTTCCCTTCATTACCCGTAATATCAAATGAACTGCATTTATAACGCAGTAATTGCAGGAGAGGTGCAAAGAGTTGCAACTGTTATACGTCTGCCTACCGCCTCTTCTGATGTTGTGGATATGAAATATTTACAGTTTCGGTAGATGAGAGCTCTTGCCGCAGGTACTGCAATAATGAACAGTTGTCCTTAGTAACGTAGCAACTATATGGGACACGACCCTTAACTCACTGACGCGTGAGCCAGGTTTTCCGCCGACGTCTCCTTGCTCCAATTACAGTATGTCGCTTAATTCTTTGCCCCAGTCGGTGAGTTCTTACCAAGACTGGGGAAGGGACGATGTAGCATAATCCTCAACTAGAAAATCACTGAAATTATCTAGACTGGAAATGTCTGAAACCGGATAAGGATAAACCACGAGCAGCTACATTTCTCTTCCGTGCTTCACGGCTATTTCTAGCAGTTTTTTTTTAACTCTTCCATAACTTTTATATATAAGCGGACCTTATCATTCGTATCGACAGCGATTTCGTTTGTCCGTGTTTAAGTTAATGTTCCCCTATAGAAAAGTGGAAAATTCAGTCGGTACTGTTGGTCTAAGTTTGTTTTCACAGGAATGTTGTCATTTTTGTCATAACCGAGTTCGTATTGAAAATTAAAGGGTCGACTGTGTGAAAGTATAGATCGGTGTTTCTCGACCAGTTTGCGAATTTATGGATTCCATGATTATAAAAGTGGTGTGTTTATCCCTATTGTTGCAATTCTTGTGATCTTGTTTGAAATTAATATATTATTACAAGTTTGGAACTGTTGTATTATAGTCAATATTTCTAGTCGTTGACAAGATCGTAATTGGCACCCAAACCTTTTGCACACAGAAACCTGCCGTATTTGACACCTCATGCATGTTACTTAAAGTAAACTGAGTTGCTAACATGTGGATATTAAGGTAGGGGAAAAAAGATATCTGTATGGGTCAGGTTCTTGCTCATAGGAACAGCAACCGAAACTGGCAAAAAAGTTGAAAATAGATTAATTTAGACACAAACACAAAGGTGCCAGGTCAATTGTATGAAAACAAATATTATTGCATTAACCTTTTAACATCGATTCCCCCCGAACCATTTAGCGATCGAAATTGTCAACATTCAATAAACGGCTCTGGTTTTTGCGCGCATTATATCACTTGTGACAGCTGAATGGACCTTCATTCATGCTAGACTTGGTACCATGTCGGTAATGATTTGGTTATGTTCTGCACTTAAATTTATCGACGCGATTCACATCCTGTAGGAGGGAACATTGGCCGCCTCAATGCCATCTTGCGAATGGTCGATCACCTGATTAAAATGAAACCATGTAGGCCTATGATAAAACGAGGCCAGTTATAATCACTCGATGTACGACTCATCGACGTACGTGTAGATCGACTGAGGTTCACGAACTACGGCTACAGTCATGTAGGCCTACATAACATTATATAGTCGAGTCATGTGGGCCTGCGTCACGGTCAAGGGTCATGTTCATGCTTTGCGAACGTACGTGTAGGCTGCATGTTCCGGGGTTGAACATATCATTATTATTCATTAACTCTTTCAAGGCAGCGACAGAGGACATGATGACTGTTCACGGATTTGTAATTCTGTAGAGAAAATGCGCATGAAGCCCCTTGTATCACGACAAGGAAACCCAAGATAATCACATCTTTGATATTTTCCTGATTGGAGTTTTCCATTTATATGATTAACAACATGATTTTTCTGAAAATAAGCACCAAACATTTATGGTGGCGTTCTCAAAAAGCCACTGTGAAACGTAATAGTCCACACAACACTACACATAAATCCAGTTTGAAACACCGTATGCCTTGGCTGGCCCGGAAGGTGTGTGTTCAATAAAATAACAAATCAAATCACAAATAAACAAATCTCTATCAAATGGTATCTCGCTACCAAAAAAATTTCGCACACCTACCTTTCGGCCAGTTCAGCTTATTTGTCCACCGATGAGGTGGGGGAGGGTCGTTGAAACACCATTCCCCTACTGCCGAAGAAAGCAAAGACTATTTTTCTGTTCCTTTTTTTTTTCTTCGTGGTTAGTTTTATTTTGTTTTCTTTTAGTCTGTTTCTGTAATATAGAATTAAGTTTCTCCATTGCTGGACTTACGGGGCAACGAAATGCTATGGCGAATTCAGCTGAGTTGTGTCTTCCTGTTCCTTATGTAAACGAATAAAACTGGAAAATTACGAAGTTTATTGTTTCTTAGATGTTTAGCATCAGCGGCATCCCAACACTTACTTTTATGTACTTGTGCTCGCAGAGTGATTTATGTCTAGCCTTTGAGCCATCCATAAGAACTCCGTCCTCACATCTCATCCAACTTTTTATTTTATTGATTAATCTCAAGTGAAATTCTATTCGTTAAATGGCACGACCAGGATCGGTCGATTGGAACCCCGTTCAGAATTTACCCAAAAATAGTTCACGATGCTCAAACTCCCCCCCCCCGGCTGTGCAACAGGGGACTGAAATGTGTGGCTATAGACACAGCTGTATATTTTAGTTTCATTTTGCAAGATGTGAAACAAAGAAAACCTGGTGAGCGTCCTCACCGTGCTGGCGTGCCATTAAATTGTATTCGTTTAGTATTTGTGTTTATTAATGTATTGTAACATAATGCAGTATCGATACCAGTTTTCCAAAATTTAAGTGTACCATCGTTGGTTCCCGGCAGCTAGGTGTATATGTTTGTATGATTATTTCAATGTAGTCCCTACAAAAACACGCAGCAGGCGTAACTCGTTCTCTTCCCGCTGGATGGTCGACCGGAACGGACCAGTATTTGCAATCCAGTGTGTGTAAAGCGCTGGAAACAACAACGGCACTCAAGTGTGAATAGGACATAGTAGTGCAATTGATCGAGGCATAGTTCACCTTACTGATTGCTAATCACATTGTCGCACTGATATTAGTCAATTTTAATGACTGTCCATTTCGAATCCTGACAGAACCAGTAATTCACATTCATTGTGGCCGCGAGGTGGTGTGCTGCGGGCCAGGCGGTAAACTGCCGCCCAAACGGATTGGCGTCACCGGCCTTTTGAAGCTAGACCGCTTGCCGACGTGGGCTGGCCCGACCGGGTAACAGTCTCAGAAGAAGAAGACGAGATCGCCACAGTATTTGTTTGTTCATTTACGTCATTGTTTTTGTTATGACTTGGTCCGGGTGTTGCTCTTCATGTCATGTTCCTTTTCCATGGTTCACACTCGTTGAAATTTTATTCCAGTTCTTTGCTCACGGGCTCTTTGCTCACTTTGTATTGTTTCTTAAAATACCGAGTATTCATAGTACGGGGTATTTACAGTGTATTTCAAGTGTGTAGCAGATTATTATCGAACCTTTACAGAAATATGAGCAGAAACCTTTTATCCTGATATATCATTCACGTCAAAGGACACGATTTACAAGATGCTACATTCATGCAGCTAGCACATGGAACGGAAATTCCAACTTCAACAGTCGGCTTCCCGCGCGGCTTTCTAAATATGTACTGATTCTGTTCATAACACTGATTCTCTGATTCACTGATTCACTGATTCTCTGATTCACTGATTCACTGAGTATACTTGGTTTGTAGTGAAAGAAACACAAACTCTTCCTCCAGAGTTGTATGTGAACCTGTTTATTTGCAAGGCGTTTTATTCTCCATTTTATACCCAGACTGTTTGAATCAATCCACTGACTCAGAGGATCTTTAACGTTCATGATTTTCAGACGAAGTCAAAGGGGACTGAATGTCAAGTATTTCTTAAGATCGATCATTAATCCGGCAAACTATGCACTATTTTAGCACAAGTTGTGTATTAGCCTTCGGCCGCAGCATGAAGTGATCCCGTCAGTATCATACACGACTTGTACTCGATTCCGCATGGGAAATCACTCTGAAGCACGGTAACACTTGGCATTTTCGATTAGGGATAAGCAGTACACAAATACCGCTTCGTATACATCTGAGGGTACCTCCCGACCCGGCAGGTGTGTGTGTAATGCAAAACCAATCAATCTAACTCACAACAGCCTGCTGTAAACGTGAAGCCCACTATTACATGTCTGTCATTTGGACGGGGGGGGACTTTTTAACATCCCTTTCCTTTGAGTACTGAAGTTCATCTTTAGTGTCTCTTTTTTCTACGGTTCTTTTTTAATTGTTCTCATATGTTTTCGCCTATGAAATAGGGTCAGTTTGTAGGCCACCAAAATATTATTTGTTTTGAAATCCCTAACCCAATGCACATTCCATTCTGCAGCTCATTTCGCACACCCCCTAGCTAAGATGCGGGAAAAAAACGAAAAAGTTAGCAGATGGGGTGAGACGCCTGTATCCTAAAATCCTTGGGCAGGTATTTACCGGCCCAAAGATTCGTATATTATTTGTTCCATTTACGTTACATGCTATAGGCCTAACTGTAAAGCTAGAGTAAATTATTAATACGGCGATTCACAATAGTACGCCTCCAAAAGTTTGGTCGCAACGCGTTAGCCAATCACGATGCGCGATATCTGTCCACCCAATGAGCGTTTGGAAAGGGTCCTCATATTTCGCGCGTTGTCATCGGCCAACGCGTCGCAAACTCTTGGAGGCAACTATTGTGAATCGTCCGTATTAATAATTTAAAAGCTCCACGATGCTAAAAGGGCGTCCAACGCTTCTGAAATATAAGGGATCGTATAGTGCCTACATGTTGACCAAAGCCCTAAGCAGTGTACGAGGTCCTATGGGCCCCCTAGAATGATCTTGTGCACACATGAAAAATTAAGATTTTAAAATCTTATAAAAGAGCACTAAAAATTCCACTTAGATTAGAAACTAGTAGCAAAACGATTTAATGGAATTTTCTGAGAAAAATGAACAAAGTCAGAAAACCTGAGAGAAAATTATCATCGGAGTCGCACCCCTGTACATTTTCAACGACCCGCTCACACTTCCTTCTTCCAAGGACATTTGTGCTCATGCGTGCATAATTAAGAATTTATTAATGAAGAGGTCTATCACCGACAGCTCATCTTCCACGTTTATCTGACTTAGATTTTGACAATCTGAATTTGCAAGTTTTTATTGAAAGGATAGCGGCAATCAATTTGTTTTAATGTAAACCTTCAAAATGCACCTTTCTGTCTCAGTTAACCTTACTTTCAGCTGGGTGTTTCATTGCCTTTTTTGCTTTCATTCTAACGAGTATTTTCATGTTCATGACGCAACTGCGATGCTATCTCGGGAAGAAAGCTTCAATGTAGCATTTAACTGTAAAACAAAGTGACTGATAAAAAAAATGCGAGTATTAATACGAAGAAGCACATCACATCAACATTGCCCACAAGTGAAAATACAACTTAAGATCTACATAAATTATTACACGACAGGAAAAGTGTTTGTTCAACCATATCTTCATAGAAAAGGAACTTGATGTAAAGAGATTCTCTTAACTGGACAATGCGTCTGAAGAGCTATACACCACACATTAGATCCAGCGCACAAAATAACAATGTTATTTAGCGGAACCTTTGAGTTCCTGATTCAAGCTTCGGCTGTCATTTTATCCTGGCAAAAATAACGAAAGATCCCCCCCCCCAAAAAAGGAAAAATGTCCTGTCAGTTACAAAATACCAGCAAAGAAATCAGTTATGTAGACAGGTGAACAGACGTGATTCGGGGGACTTGCCCATTTTGATGCGCGCTCATTAAAATAAAACTAAGGAGCTCTCATAGAGAACATTTAATGTTGACGACCACTGTTTGTGTAAATGTGTATTTTTGCTACGTGATGCCCTATTGTAATGTAGCACTCAGTCTTTACACAGCAACATTCTGTGCAGTTAGGGTAGTGGTTATGTTATTTCCTTAATATGAACAACATAAAGCAATACCTCTGAAATGGCCGAGTGGTTAAGCTCGCAGTAATCAGATCGTTGAACAGTGGGTTCGAATCCCACTGGTGGCCTTTTATTTTCCCAACGCTTGCTGTCAGTCAGTAGCTATAAGAGACTCTAATTCACCCCC